GAGAAAGCTAAGAATCATGCACTGCAAACCAAGCAGCCCACACAGCCACCGTCGTCCATTAACATTTTCAAATCCATTCCTCTAACTGCCCTCTTAGAACCCGCTAGTGAATTCAACGTCCTAATACGAGAAGGTAGCTTAGCCCATAGCACAGGTCCTAAATACCTAAAGGAATGCCTGCCATAATTAATAGAGTTAAATCTTGGAATAGTAAATTCTTTAACTCTTAAGTTATACACTGTGTGATTTGCTGAAAATAAATCTTGTATATAGCTTGGTGCTAGCTTCAATTTTACTTTATACATGATGGTCGCTGAAGTTCCTGAAATGTGAGAAAACACAGCTGAACAAGACGCGATTGGTTTAAGTTTTGCATCTGATTGGTCGAGAGAGAGAGAGAGGTGCAACTGTGGTAGATGAATGGCAGAAACCTGTGATAAAAAAAAAACAATTCAGTCACGGATCAATATAATATTTGTGTATTCTCGATCGATCGGTAGTCTTGAAAAATGCACGCAATTTTCTATTTTAATCCAAATAAAAACACTAACTTTATGTTGAAACTTCTGGACTTTTATATACATATATATATTGTGGGAGGAAAAAGATAAGTAAACTACAAGTTCATCATTCATATATATATATATAAGTATAGAGGCAAGACCGATGCAACGTAGATAACTTTTAAGACGGAGCACTATATCTGCGTTCTATCGGTCTTGCCTCTATACTTATATTAGTTATTTTGGGCCGATTAGATCACTGTTGATCCAACGTACAAGAGTAGGTTTATCGTCCACGGTTGCTTGCTGAACATTTCACACATTTTTTTTAGTGCTAAAGCGCTTCAAACAATTCTCGTTCTCACGGGCCCGCAAGGTCTGTACAATCGATGGGCAGACAGGTCTCAGGAGTTGAATGTGGATTGGAACTTGGATACCGCGAAACAAGTCTTAGAGGCTTGGCAACGGCGCTTTACTGAGGTAAACATTTCCATTTATCGTGTCAGACACATTCTACATGTTACACGAGGGGTTCTGTGTGTGACGCAAAGAGCTGCTCATTTAATGGTTTCTTAATTGGCCGTTTCCGGATTACCTTTGACCTCGTTTTCAAAGCGAGTTCTGGTGCTCAACCTTTCACATGATTATAAGTTTTCATTCACATGCTAATTAAACTCGTTTTCATACGAATTGTTGAGTACCGGGCCTCGTTTTGAAAAAGAGTCCAAAAGTAAATTCGGAAATGGCCTGTTGGTCTTACTGGTCATGTGATGACAGAATGATTAACATATTTGAGCGTAAATAAAGGTCTAAAGGTATTGTAGACGTGCAGCGCACTGGATACCGCATCCAAATGCTTGAGTCATTTGTAGTGATCTCGGCACAGACACTTTATTCTCACAGTGCCGGTGCAATGGACGGGGGTACTTGCGCATGTACAGGGCCCCTGTTAGGTTTAGAAACCTGACAATATTCTGGTGAAACTTGCAATGGACTAGCATTCATTGCAGGCGGAGGCGCAGTACTCCATACCGCTCCATATACACGTTCCAGAGACAGGGAATAGCTCTGACAACTATTTGAGTTTGTTTCACAGTCAGATCATGTTTATCTTCCTTCATAGGAAATCAATGAAGACGTCAAAGACACTGATGAGTTCAGTATCCTCGCATTTGACTCGACCTCTGTCACTGATTTATTAAAGGAATTCTCAGAGACCAGCGTGTCAAGAATTGCCATAGGATACATGCTCATGGTAAATACTGCTACTTGCATCCAACAATACAACAACAGCATCCATAACCCATTTAATTTTGATATTTTCTGTAGCAAGAACAAAAATTGTCAAAGTTGCAATTTCATTGTGCTGGACCACTCCAAATTTCCCCTCACCCGTGAAAAAAGAAACATGAAGACGAGATGAACTTGACAACAACCCTTGGTGGGGAGGGAAACGTGAAGAAAAAGGAAGAGGAGAAAGACAAGATAGGCTGGACGAAGAAGACAGGGAATTGTAAAGCTTCTTATCCTAAACCTTTGTTTTACCCGATCCTTTCTAAAAGTCCTCCGAAAGAAGAGGTTGTGAAAGCTTTTCGCACCCAACCCGGCCTCCTTTACTTCAGTTGAGGGCAAGTTTGTCCTCGCCCTATTTCCTCCCTCCCCTCCACTCCTTTTCCCGTATTTCGGTATCTCACTTTCAACTAAACAGACCATTCAGCGTTATTATCTGTCTCACCATATTAAAAGCACACATGGATTTCATATCTACAACTCTCAACTCAGTCACAGTCGTGAGCCGCTGGGCAAGAATAGCGCAAGCTCAGCTGTGAGGCTAAGTTTTCTATTCCTCTTTCAGCTCATTTACGCATGCATAACTCTGAAGCGCTGGTGTGAGCCAATCAGATCTCATGGAGCCCTGGGGTTTGTGGGTGTGCTCCTAGTTACGCTCTCGGTGGCTGCAGGGCTTGGTTTTAGTGCATTGTGTGGAATAACATTCAACGCTGCTTCAACTCAGGTAATGATAATTACACTAAGTACTTCTCTAACTCAATGGAATTTTCAAAACGCACTATTCATTTGAAGAATTTATAGGGTTGTGATGATAAGAAGTTAAGCTCTGGCAGGAGAAAAAGCATCTGTTTGATAAATAAAATTAATCCTTTTTTCCTCAGGTGTTACCGTTTCTTGCCCTCGGTCTGGGCGTGGATGACATGTTTCTTCTTGCTCACTCTTATTCCACCCTAATACGGAGAGGAGATATCCGCCATATGGTAAGTTTGTAAATCATGGTAAGGGAATGTAAAGGAACCACGTTAAGGTATTTAGGGGAAGATGGAAGAGAGCAAACCTACTTTAAACTTGAAGGAGAACACTCATTCGATGAGACGGTGAAACTTGATTAGGCGATTAGCTGCGGAAAATTGATCTTTTTTTCCTTTTGGCTTGGAAGCAAGAGCGAGGAGAGCACTATGGGTGAGACACACGTGTGGTAAAGAGCGCGAGACGAGGAGAGTGTGGCAAAGAGCATGAGACGAGGAGAGTGTGGCAAGGAGTGCGTGTCTCGGCCCTTGCACTCTCCGTAAGGCCTGTCCCGAAGGTTAATTAACAATTATTTCACGAGCGCGCGTTGGATATGAGATGATAGATAGCCAACGAGGCGCGTAGCGCCGAGTTGGCTATAATCATCTCATATTCAACAAGCGTGAGTGGAATAATTGTTTTATTAAAAAAAGCGCCCCCAAGACATTAGACAAATCTTCTCGACTTTATTTTGTTAGAAGAAACCGGATGTTACAATGTACAGGTATTAGATTATGGTATATTAGCTCATATACCAAAATGGCTGAGCCAATAAAAAGTCTTAAATTGCATTATCCAATGATCCAGTTTTTAATAATAAATAATAGCCTACAAGTGCTAGTAATTATCATTAAATCATCTCATCCACTTCTTATTTTCTGACAGGAAGAAGTTGGCTACTGTTTGGGGACCACTGGGGTTAGCGTGTTTCTGACGTCATTCAACAATATGTTAGCCTTCTTCATGGCGGCGTTGATTCCTATACCAGCCCTGAGATATTTTGCATTACAGGTAGATCCTAAGTCTTATTATTTATAAATCTCTTCGGGATATCACGGGATGCGCCTGGTTGAGTTTCATCACAAAATCAACTGTGACAAGATGTTTTGCACTACGGGTAGAATTTAGTAAAGAAAAGGCTGTAAGGGTGGCTGGGTTAGAATTTTGACGAAAGTGCACAGTTGATGATTGTGAATAGAGAGCTTTCCTGATCGGTTAAGAATATTGCACTAGCTTTTTATTTCCAACCATTCTTGAGGCGTGGTAAATAATAGCCAAAATCAATTTTGATTCATCTCAGGCACCTAGGCACTGCTTCCTAAATCCTTTTCATACAATAGCGTAATACATGCAGAAGTGACGTCATGCCCACCCACAGAACTCTCAAGCATGCATAATAAAGCGACTGTTTTATTTGGTTTAGCCAGAGAGCGACATTCATAAAGGCGTTTCTTTGTGTTTGATATCCGCTTCAGATTTCAGCTTTGGCAAATACCGCGAATCCCGGCATTGATAACTATCGCTATCACGCTTAAACTCATGCAATGATTATCAATTGTCAGGCTGCTGTTGTTGTCATCTTTAACTTCTTCGGAGTCATCATCATTTTTCCCGCCATGCTGGGAGTCGATGTACAAAGAATGAAACGTCAGCGATATGACATAATCTGCTGTTTGAAAAGGTCAGCGGTGATCTAGTGTATGTACTGATTTTAGAGTCACATGTTACATAGAGTTGCTTGATGAATGACGAGCGTCAGTCTCTCTCGGAACTAGTAACCTATCAAAGATTGGCAAAGTGCGTTACATAGATAATCAACAAATAGATAAATAACTAATAAATGAATTAATAGAGAAAAACATTTGTAAAATTTCAAAATTCTTGCAGGACGTCCAAGAATCAAGGTAGCGAAGAAGTTCTGTCTAAAACCCTAAGCAAGTCTCCCCAAACGACTGACGGAGAAAAAAATCAACATAAACTTGAGCTTTCCGACGGTCAGACCACGTCTAACCCTTCCAACACCATTGTCATGAGCAATGGAAAATCAGATTCTTCCATCGCCGGGGTCCTAATAAACGAGTATGCTAATAACTCGGACAAGCAGTCCAAACTGTCTTACGATAGCGAAACAAGTATGATGAGAAATCATCTTAGCTCTAATGCATCACAGTATGGACCTCCAAGTAGCGTAGTTAATTCCTCAGTAAACGGTAACGATGATGGATCCATCCGGTCCAGATGCGCACCATTGTCACTTCAACATTTTGCCACCGTTTACTATGGCCCTGCACTGCAGAAAATGCCGGTTAAGGTAAACATTACCCTGTAACATTTTAAGCGTTCAGTTGGTTAAAAAATCAAATGAAAGCGATGGGAACACACTGATCTACGTAAGATTAAATCTGCACACAAAGTGAGCCGCATAATTATCGGAAGTTATTAGGCGACCAGAGGAGTATTGTTACTCTCCCTGGAGAGGGATGCTTGTCCTTTGAACACTGCAACCCAAGCCCCC